TGGTTCGAATCCCGTACAGGCCTGATTTTTTTCAGGTCTGATTTTCGCTATTGCTTAAATAGCGCTATCTACTGCGAGGATCGTGCATCATACGTATCTAATACCGCAGTTCAAAATATATGAACTTCATATATTTCATTGTATCTGATTTATCACTTTCACGGGTTTATTACGAATCAACTTAACGGCCTGCTCCCAGTTGGCTTGTTAGCTCAATTGGTAGAGCGCTGCACTAGTATCGCAGAGGTCATTGGTTCGAATCCCGTACAGGCCTGATTTTTTTCAGGTCTGATTTTCGCTATTGCTTAAATAGCGCTATCTACTGCGAGGATCGTGCATCATACGTATCTAATACCGCAGTTCAAAATATATGAACTTCATATATTTCATTGTATCTGATTTATCACTTTCACGGGTTTATTACGAATCAACTTAACGGCCTGCTCCCAGTTGGCTTGTTAGCTCAATTGGTAGAGCGCTGCACTAGTATCGCAGAGGTCAGTGGTTCGAATCCCGTACAGGCCTGATTTTTTTCAGGTCTGATTTTCGCTATTGCTTAAATAGCGCTATCTACTGCGAGGATCGTGCATCATACGTATCTAATACCGCAGTTCAAAATATATGAACTTCATATATTTCATTGTATCTGATTTATCACTTTCACGGGTTTATTACGAATCAACTTAACGGCCTGCTCCCAGTTGGCTTGTTAGCTCAATTGGTAGAGCGCTGCACTAGTATCGCAGAGGTCATTGGTTCGAATCCCGTACAGGCCTGATTTTTTTCAGGTCTGATTTTCGCTATTGCTTAAATAGCGCTATCTACTGCGAGGATCGTGCATCATACGTATCTAATACCGCAGTTCAAAATATATGAACTTCATATATTTCATTGTATCTGATTTATCACTTTCACGGGTTTATTACGAATCAACTTAACGGCCTGCTCCCAGTTGGCTTGTTAGCTCAATTGGTAGAGCGCTGCACTAGTATCGCAGAGGTCAGTGGTTCGAATCCCGTACAGGCCTGATTTTTTTCAGGTCTGATTTTCGCTATTGCTTAAATAGCGCTATCTACTGCGAGGATCGTGCATCATACGTATCTAATACCGCAGTTCAAAATATATGAACTTCATATATTTCATTGTATCTGATTTATCACTTTCACGGGTTTATTACGAATCAACTTAACGGCCTGCTCCCAGTTGGCTTGTTAGCTCAATTGGTAGAGCGCTGCACTAGTATCGCAGAGGTCATTGGTTCGAATCCCGTACAGGCCTGATTTTTTTCAGGTCTGATTTTCGCTATTGCTTAAATAGCGCTATCTACTGCGAGGATCGTGCATCATACGTATCTAATACCGCAGTTCAAAATATATGAACTTCATATATTTCATTGTACCAAACAGGAAATCGCTGAGAAAATGAATTACGCGCATTATTAATGTTGTTTCAAGTATTACCTCTGGTGATCAGAGCGTCGCAGTTTTCGATGACGTGGCTCTTACCGAATTTGTCAGGTCCAAGTTAGGAAATCAATCGTTTGATATACCTTATATTACCGAAGTTCGGATGTTAGACCTATTGAAAAAGATTCCCACCAGTAAGGCCACTAGTTGTGATGGCCTTAGCACGAAAGTACTAAAATTAGCAGCTCCAGTTCTGGACTCCCCTTTCTGCCGTCGTATGAATCTGTCCACTAGTTCTGGGTCCTTCCCTTCGACATGGAAGACTGCTCAAGTTACACCCTTGTTCAAAAGTGGCTCTCGTGAAGAGACAGGAAACTACCGACCAATCTCCGTTCTACCTGTTTTGTCCAAGGTACTCGAAAAACACGTAGCAATAGCTCTCTCTGATCACCTTCACAGCTACAATCTGATGAATAATCTTCAATCAGCCTTTCGTGCGAATCATTCTACTGAAACTGCTCTGATTAAGTTAACCGACAAACTGCTCTTCAATATGGACAATGATATTGTCACAGGGTTAACGTTCGTTGATTTCTAAAAAGCCTTTGATGTCGTAAATCATGAATTATTAGTGAAGAAACTGTCAATTTATGGAGCCAAATACCTTACAGTAAAATGGTTTAGGTCATATCTTACAGGAAGAAACCAGTATGTTCGTGTAAATGGTCGCTGCTCCTCTAGTCAACAGTTACTCCGAGGTGTTCCTCAAGGAACAATTTTAGGACCCATTCTTTTCCTTGTGTTTATAAATGATATGCCTTTGAGTATACGGGACTCTACACTTGACATTTATGCTGACGATACGACCTTATCAAAACGCGCTAGTTGGGAGAACATCTCAGCCATCAACCACGCCCTAAGTCAAGATCTTAAACGCCAAGCTGAATGGTCGGCACAGAATAAGATGTTCATAAATAATCCAAAAACAAAGTCCATGCTAGTAACAGGGAGGCGCCCACGAAACAAAGTTGCCTCTCTTTCAATTGATGTTAATTTGAATAGAAATTCCATTGAGAATATTTTCGATTTCAAGCTTGCTTTGATCGTCAGATAGAGAAATTGAGCAAAAAAACTTGTGAAACGGATAGGTCTCTTTCGTCATATAAGTCCTTATCTAAAACGGGCCGGAATCAACGTGAAATTTATTACTCCACGATTATAAAACCTGTGTTCCTTTTTAGCAGTTCGATATGGACCTCTTGTAAAAAGGAAAATCTTCAGGAACTTTTTCGTCTTCAGAAACGTGCNCTGGATTCCTTTCTATGCCGAGTCATATGTAAATCGTTGTACCTTAACCTACAAAAGACTTAACGGTAGTACTCCAGAATATATAAATGTCTTACTAATCGAAAACTCTGACATCCATAATAAAAAACCAGATTCTGTAATCTAAATTCAAGTTGTCCTCGCTACAAGAGATGTACGGAAGGTGGCCGGACGTTCATCGTAAGAGCAATCCAAGAATGAAACAAGCTAAATGTAGATCTTAAACGTAGTCCTAGCGCAAAATATTTTAAAGGATCCCTCCATAAATCAATTTTTAAAAATCAATTTTTTACTCAGTCATTAATTAATAGCTAGTAGTTTTATATCCTTTTTATACAAATTATGTTTGCTAGATTGTAGGTCATTTTTTGATTAATTTTCTCTTGTATTTACTTCGAGGGCCATTAGGTTATCAGTTTAGTTACTGTCAGATGTCACCCTCTCTAATAAAGTCTACTTACTAACTCGTTAGCCATTCAAATCGTATTTCTCCATCGGAGGGAAGGGTTGGGACGACCTGAGTTAGTTTAGCTCCCTCTCCAGGAACAGCTGTCTTTTGCTCTATTTCCCCTGGCATTCATCCTGACCAATGCTGTTCTTATGACAGGCTAATCTTATGCATCTTATAAGCTTGCTATAAAGTGATCGAAAGTTTAATTGAAAGTTTGTTTGTTTTATTTAATGCTTTCCGGGGCAGGAACTCTTTATGAATATGAGCAGGGAAAGCCTTAAAATATCTTGAATTTATCTTAGATTCCGCAATGGCGACTGCATATTATAAAGAAATCATCTTCTTTGTGAATGGAAGAAAGGTACGTAGAAGTGGTGTTATGAACAGCATTCTTGTCCCTTCCTCTCTGTCTTTTACATTTTCTTTTTCTATCAATGTTAAAGCCTTTTATTTTTCTCCATTGAGTTTACCATTGTATTTCTGTAATATTTTTTATCTTCTCGAGGAGTTGGGCCTTAGGAGATAGGAGCAACATAAAATACTTTAAAATCATTAAAATTACTTTTTTTAAAATGTCTTTTCGCAATGTATGTACATTTATCAGTACTGTTTCGTCTTGTTATTTCCTTTCTCCAGATAATTGAAAGGAATCTGCAGCCTGAATCTACTGTTCTTCAATATCTGAGAGATCAGTGTATCCTTAATATAAGCTAGACTGAAATGTCGGCGTCAGTAAAACCT